GGGAGGGAGGGAGGGAGGGAGGGATGGATGGATGGAGGGAGGGATGGATGGATGGAGTAACTTATATCTACTCCTATTTCAAAAACTTGGGCTGTGAATTTAAATATGAATGAAAGGGATCATTTGTTTTGTCTTTTTCATTAGTAGCTTGCAACGAAATATCCCATTTCCTTCAAGCAATGACCTACACTGGCAAATCGTTTCAGATTTCAGATCTTCAACCAGCAATATTACCTGAGAGATTTACTCGGACCAATACTGGATGGTTTGGGATTATTTGATAATTTTGGTATACTCTGTATCTTTCTCTTCACTGACACTGGCGTTTTCAAGACTTGACGTGTGGTATTTCGAGTTGTTTTGGCTGGAATGATGAAAAAGAAGCACCAGTTTTAGATCATGAACCTTTTACCACAAGACTAAACATATATCATCTTCCTAAGTGAGGATCATCCCTGTTTCAGGGTTGCATTCACTGTAATAGACAGTGGCTAACAAACCATACAACCTGTTGACCTTGGAATTTAGAAGTTGAGTTTTGTAGAGAGAATGAAATGGGAGAAAACCCCTCGAAGCACAGGAGAGAACAAACTAGAAACTCTATTCCCTATGACATCAAGTTTGTGAATTGAACATGGATTGCATTGATGAGAGGTGAGCACTAATAGGGATATATTGTATATATAGCGATCAGTATTTCTCCTACCTTTTTTTGGCATATTGATCACTCTTGTGCTGTGAATTAGGGGAGGATAAAATCATTATTAAAAGTCACATCAATATTATATTTATATCAATCACAAGGTGGTTTTTAGTCTTGTAACTTTAGAGGTTATTAGCAGCACAATGACTTATGCATAGTATCAAACCATTTAATTCTTTTAATCTCAATAGTCCCTTTCCCGCCAACTTGAAAGGTAACCCTGCCTTTGAATCAAAGTGAGATGAACAGTGAGTTTGTAATGATAGAGACCTTTTTTAACACCTTGAACAATAATTTATTCACGTCTCTATCATTGCAAGCTCACTGTTTGTCTCACTTCAATGCACAGGCATGGCTACCTTTCAAGATAGGGCCAGAACTGAAGTTAAGGGGATTATTCATATGTTGATTTTTAAGGAGAAAAAAAATGAGAGGACCCAGAGATGACCCTTGTGGCATACCTGACTTCCTTTCTCTCTTTCTCAACCACCTTCATCTTGTCCTGTGTCATTTTATAACTATCATCTGTAGCATTAACATTTATTTTATGAGTGATACTGCCTAGGGACATGACAGCTTTACTTCTGCCTGGCTGTTGAATGCAGTCTAAACAACTTTGGCTGTTGGTCGATTGGAGCGTTGAACAGCTAAATGTAAACTGTCGCCTGTTGCTCTCCGGATCTTTCTCTGTACTTGGTATAGTGATTGTCTGGAAAATGAACAGTAAGAGTATTATTTATTAGTATTGTTTATTAGCTTAATTACGTCAGTGGGTATTGTATACTAGTGTATTGTATAAATACCGATTTACATGGTACAATTTTTCCTTGTAACTGTTGTACTTAACATGCTTACCCTAAGTCTTGGTTGCCTTTTGCAGCCCTAAGCAAGTTGTACAGTAAGTTTAAAAGAAACAATCCATATCGTCAGTATGCTGCACTCAACAGTCATGATGAAACATTGTACGATGTAAATCAGCCTTAAAGGTCCGGTTAACACAGATGTGTTGTGATATATTGCAGACTGTTTTTCTTATAATAACACAGGAAAAAGGCCAACCAGAATGCAGGAATTCGTTTCATATTTGTCAGTCTTCAAAATATCACATAAAACTGGTGATATGCACAAAGAAAATATTAAGTGTGGTATAAATGTACAGCTCAATAGCAATGTACAACTGCATGTATGGGCTCCCTAGGGTATTTATGCTAGTACAATCATACCATTTTATTTCATCAAAGTGGTAACTATGCATTTTGATTTGGTTGATATATTCAGAACAATGGAAAGCCTCTCAATGTAATGGCTTGTCATATTCTGACATTCTGTATTAAATTCAGCAACATAAGCTTTTTGTGAACACTGCTCTGTATTGTCATACTATAGAAGACAGTGAAGTTAAAGTAGTGTATCATAGGTTTTTCTTGCAGAACATTGTAGAATATTCTGTAGATGTATCATAGAATATTGAAGGATTTTACTAAAAATAGCCTAAAATTCCAATAAAGTTATTTATAATAACATGAAAAACAATATGGCCGGTTTTCAAGATATCTCAATACCAGTCAACACCGATAAAGATACTCGGCTCCCATTTTACCAAATCGAAGATCATCGTTTTGAGGCTCCAAAAAAAATCCAATACAGAATAGCAATATCACTATGTGGTTGCTAATTTTGTTGGTCTAAACATTGCCTTATGGAACAGTGGAAGCCCGACTTGAACAGCGCATGTATCTCATAAACAAGGGACCTTCATTCTAACCTTCCTTTACGTAACACCATTAGTTAAATAAGCAGACGAAGAAATAAAATAGAATAATCTCATTAAATTCATAGAGAGGTGGTAAATATGGTAATTCTTGGTCGAAATTCTAAGTTAAATACATGAGAAGTTCTATATATGATAAGAAGTGCTTGAATCAAGACTCTAAGGTTTTTTTTTGTATTTAGTGATAAAGAATAGAATGCCTTACCCCATTTTGGCCTGAAAACTTTATTAATGGAGTATTTTTTGAAGGTCCCTGAGAAAACAAAAGGTTTGTAAGTCAACCATTTGGATGTACATCACCATGCCACACTGAAACAAGGCATGAAAATTTATCAAACCTTTGCGTTTTTGAAGTCCTGTAAAGCTCGAAGGCACGAATCTGTTAGCTTGACTTGTACTATGACCTTATCCTGGTTAAAATGGTCTTGAGATACGAGTTTATAGCTGGTTTTAGGCTGAAGGTAGGTGGCCATCGCCACATCTTTTTTTTCTCGTTCTACTTTTCTCTTGATCAAACGTTCTTCTTGTTCGTTTCGTTCCTGCACAACATCCGCTTTACCCACCACGCATGCGCTAATATACATCACTCCTTATATGGACATGATAAAGAATACACCACCCGGCATTGCAACGAGGCTTGATTAATTTACTTCCGCCGGAAATGAAGTGTTCTTTCATATTTTGTCTCGACAGAGGTAGTCTAGGACTTTTTATCTAAAGAAGATAATGAAGTTTTGTAATGCTGTTAAGAGTAAAAATAAATAAAGGCTAAATGCTTATGTGGACAATTTCAGATCCGAGGGGAGAGGGGTAGGTTTTAGGTGCTCAGTATCCCCTTCCCTTGATATTTTCTTTCGCATCATTAATATTTTGGAACATTATTATTTTCATAAAGAACATTAGTTCAGTTTATGGGTTCCTCCGCTCAAAACTACTCCTGCTCTTCTATTTCCTCTCTCTTCCTAACTTTTGGTCCACCTCCTCCTCTCCCTCCCCTCCCCTGCGCTATGTTTTAGTGCGTGATAATCTCAACATCAAGGTCATCTCTGGACCATATTATGCATCACGCTGCCCATCACGAAGTACGCCCGAGTTTGTTTCTTACTGACCCTTACTCTGATTGTTAACGTTCGAAAGGCGTGCTACTGAGGTATCCTAACCAGTTTTGATCTCGTTGTATTTAACGTACAGTGCGTAAATCCACTCGCTAAAGTAAGTGAGAGTTTGATTTGTTTTGTGTTGTTTACTTTTTTTGGTTTGTTTTTGATCAGCGTAATAACAGAACTGATCTGGTGTTTCTTGAACTCTTCAGTACAAGATCATGCCTCACACCTCACGAGTTACTTTAGTCGTTCTTGTCGTATTTGCATCACTGACGATCATAAGCAGCAGTGACTACTTTCTCTTACGCTAGGTAAAGCACTTGGTGCTAATGGACAACACTAGAGCCGTATGACAGTGTACCTACGTTACTTTGCGTATGTCTGTGTTTCAAAATATCAGCCAGGGTGTAGCTTTGGGAAAAGTAGGTGAAGTGAAAGTCAGAAACTTTTCATAACAAGGCATAAAAGCACACATGAAAAGAGTAAGACTAGCAATCAAATCGTAGCAGTCTAATTAACCCTGCATAATGACTTTACTACGCTATGGCTACTCAGGCATGAACGGTGAACAAAATAACAAGATAGCGTATCTCATTACTGGGCCGGGAGCGTCTTCATCGTCAATAAACATTATTAGCAGATATAGTTAGTCCCAACTAGCAGTCGATCAAATTAAGCAAACCGTCCCTTGCGTGATCTTGCTCTACCGTTATTAAGACGGTTTTAATAACGTCCCGGGTCTCAAAAGTTTTGTGTCAGTCTGTTATCAGATGGAGGTTTGCTCAGTTAGTAGACCAGAAATTCTGACCCTCTGCTTTCGACCTTAGGCGTTGATCGACGGATCCAATGAAACGTTTAGAAGAACTCTGCAACATAATACGGTGTCTGGAGATGGCTAATGGTATTAATATCAGACTCGCACCGAGTCGCTTCTCTTCTCTTATTGATCTCACGTTGTGGTTGATGGGAAAGATTTAGTGAGTTCCCGGTGGAAAAAAGTTAGGCCCTGGCTAAACGAGGAAACATGTTTCCCTAAACGTTTCCTAAGGTGGCAAAACTGTCAGGAAACATCGGGAAACAATGTTTCCATGCGTCTTGGAAACATGAAATGTTTCTGCCGCACAGCAAAAACATTTTTTGCGTCTTGAAAGCAAAATTTGTTGCACGCAGCAATGTTTTCGCATGTGGCTAAACTGGGAAACATCAAGGAAACATGCCCGCGGTAAACATGTTTCCAGAAACATGTTTTCTAAATGTTTCCAAAGGTGGCAAAGCTGTTAGAATGTTGACTTTCGTGGCTAAACGAGGAAACATCGGGGAACATTGTTTTCATGCGTTTTGGAAGCAAAATTTTGCACCTTGAAGGTATGCAATATTTGTTGTCCGCGGCAACGTTTCGCATGAAGCTAAACTTGGAAACATGGGGTAAACATGCGCGCGGTAAACATGTTTCTGGAAACACGTTGTCTCGTTTAGCCAGGGCCTAAGTTACAAACTACGTTTATTTCTCAGACCATGTCGAAAGATCAAGAAATGGATGACCATTTTGACGCAAAACAGGATAAGGTCTATGATGATGTATTCAACCTCATCCCTTCGTTTGGCCGCTACCAGAAGATCGTGTACTTCACGACTTCATTCTTGAATTTCCTTTTGGGCCCGCAGTTTGGCCTGTTGGTGTTCGCTATGAGCAGCCCTCGTTTTCGCTGCACCACTCCCAATATAACGTGCGAAGTTAATAAATGCTGCCAGAACTGTACTTCTTATGCCTTTGATGAAGGGCAGTTCACGTCTATCGTTACCGAGGTAATTTATTTATCACTATTATCGCTGATCATTAATCAATTATTATGTGACTTGAACTCCCCTTCTCCAATCTGTCGTAGCGTGCAGGGCGGAACTTTGCCGCGGTCGAAAAAAAATCCAAATTTCAATTTTCTAAAAAAGTTTGATCGATATCAGGTCATGAAACAGACTGATGAAAGTTAGGACACGGCTAGCTCACAGAGGCGAACCCTGATAATGAACTAAACAACCATTGGGCTATCTAGGTCAGGGCACAGTTAACTCACACATCGAATGGCAATAGACCTCCTCGGCTCGAGCGTAATGTTGTCCCATTTCAGACCACGTGTCATTCCCTTGAGAATAATATTCTTTGTTTGAGCTGCAATCCATATTCATGTGTCTTCTCATGTGTAACCGAGCGCAAACCTAAAACAATAAAGAAATGATACTCTAGGGAATGACACGTGGTCTGATATGGGAAAACATTACGTGAGAGCCGAAGAGGTCTATTGGCTTTTGCGCAGGAAACCCGTACAACTCTATTCACATGTGAATGCCAAGTCCAGGACTACAAAATGAAAGCTAACAAACAAGCCACCTAGCTAAACAATCTCTTCATTCTATTTTGTCTTATTTGTAGTGGAACCTGATCTGTGATCGCGCCCATATTGCTGCCACCATTCAGTCGTGTTTCTTCGCGGGTATGCTGATAGGATCTATCATCGGTGGTTTGGTGTCTGATGCGTTTGGTCGACGAACCTGCATGTTTGGAAGCTGCGTCTTATTGGTTTGAATACTACCTTTTATATTATCTTTCTGAGGGGGGAGAGGGTTGGTAGATCTGGTTGGTCGGTCAGATATCTGTAATTCCTTGGGGGAGGGCTAGGAGAATGCAAGTATTTAATTTCTCTGTTGATTAGTATTCTTCATCCTCAGGTTGTGGTAGGAGTAGCCTCGTCGTTTGCAGATTGTCTTTCCCTTCTGGGTCTTCTTCGATTCTTCGTCGGGTTTTTCCTTGCTTCGTTCATGCTGTCCGCATATATCTATGCTATTGAACTGTTAGGCCCTAATCGTCGCGCCATGGGAGGTCAAATCAACCACGTATTTTGGTCGCCTGGATACTGTGTCACGGCGCTGTGGGCGTACTTTATTCGCGACTGGAGATACCTGGTTCTTGGCACAACATTACCACCTATTCTGTTTTTCCTCGCTTGGAAGTAAGTTGCGCCGAAGTTTTGTTTCGTTTTGTGGACATTACCGGCTGTCTTTTCGTTCCTCGGGTTAATTCATAACCTTCGATTTACATGTTACAATTTTTCCTTATCAATGTCGCGCAACATGCTGAGGACACGAACTGCTTCGTATAAATGAACCGTATAACTTGCTTACGACTGTAAATGGCAGCGAAAACTTGACTTAAGCATGTTGCGCACGATCCTGTTAATCGGAATTAACGACTTGGAAGATGGAAAAAAATATCAAATTTTATTTCTTAGAGTATTCCCTGAATCTGTTCGTTGGCTGATCGCTCATAATCGCCTTGATGACGCGCAGAAGACTCTGATGAAATGTGGTGGAAAGGACGGCAAGCCTTTGAATAAAGAAGATGTGAGGAATATCGTCGAAGAGATACGAAGAGACCAAGTGGAAAGAGAACAAAAGACTGAAGCCAAAAAATACTCGGTATTGGATCTCTTTCGGACACCGAAACTGCGTAAAAGATCGATCATTCTTGCTGTGAATTGGTAGGACTCTTTTGTAGACAAGACAAAATGTTATATTGTGGTTGTTTACGCATTTATATTAGTGCGCGAGTTAAAAAATTGCTTACATGCGCATTTAGTGAGTTCAATGTACGGTAAAGAGTGCGTGCGCTTGCCTGCTGGTTGCGCAGGCCTGGATTACGGTGGCCATTCTGTTCAGCGGCCCGCAGTCAGTTAATGCGCGTTCGTATAAGTGCTGCTTTTTCGATCCAATTTGATAGTTATTTACCTCAGTTTTCTCGCAATTCAAGCCACACAATTATCAAATTCCTTGGACTATAATATCTTTTGTTTCTGTCAACCCTTCGCACCACAGGTTTGTAGTTGCACTGGTTCACTTTGGGTTCTACCTGTATGTCAACGCCCTTGCAGGTAGTCTCTACATCAACTATGCCATCATGAACAGCATCTATGTCCCTCATCTCTTCTTGTGTTGGTTCTTAATGCAGAGGTACGTGTGTATATGGTAACCTATTAAGTGCAGTTCAATATCATTCTGTTGACGTCATCGTCAGCTCACGTGTTTCATGTCGCGGATTCTTACATTCAATTGTAAATTCTCTTTTGATTTTAGGTTTGGGAGGCGGCTTCCTTACACTTTTTATATGATCGGTACGGGTGTTTCAAGTCTCCTCATCTTAGCCGTACCAAAAGGTAAGACCTTCGGCGCACACCATCATTTGAGTTAACTCCCTTCATTAAGCTAGTTCTTCACCTTTTTACTGTTCTTATCTCTCATGTTCTCAGAATATCCCATTGCTGTAACCGTGCTGGCTTTGATCGGCAAGACTATGATAACCACTGAGTTCTCCAATGTGTATCTTTTCACTGCAGAACTCTATCCGACTCTTGTCAGGTGATTTGCATTACTTATACCTGTTGAACTTCTTATGTTCTTTTATGGTGCGTCACTGCCTTTGTCCACCTACTTCAGCCAACCTCGTACCCAGAGCCTGCGTTTTTCTTTGGAACGAGAATAGGATCCACAGGAATCCAGTAGCAAGAAGTGGATCAGACAGAGCCTTGTTCCTCGGTGCACACAGAGAAATGCAGGCTCTGGGAAAGAGATTGCCATTCATCAAAGTTGAAAGATTGCTAACGCATGTTATGTTTGAGTAACGCTGCTGACATTGTATACTTGTCTCTCGTCTGATAGGAATAGCGGGATTGGACTGGGCTCCATGAGTGCTCGTGTTGGTGGAATCATAGCCCCCTACATTGTCATGTTGGTAAGTTCTGTTTACCTTCATCCAGTAACATAAGAATAGAGACTCCTTATTCCATCAACTTTACCTAATTTCAATTCCTTATTTAGTCACAACTGCCAGGGTTGAGCTTGACTTTGCCAACTACCATATTTGGGGTGAGTGCAATGGTTGCTGGGATCCTGTCGCTATGGTTACCCGAGACTCTAAATGTCAAGCTGCCTCAGACGATCGAAGAAGTGGAAGCGACGAAAGAGATCTTTAAAGTACCCGGATGTTGTGGTACAAGTAAGTCTTTTGAACCAGAAACAATTTCATTGGAGCCTTCGAAAGACGCTTGAAACATCAGGATTGGTCAAGAAAACTGTAAACAAGGACATAGATTTAAATAATAATAAGTTTTTCTGTTAATGAATCTTGAAAAAGCCAGGCGTTCTTTGTGGGGTTTGGGGAGGCTTGGCGAACGCCTGGCTACGCAGGCTAGAAAAAGAGAGCATCTAAATTTAGCGAAGCAAGAACTAAGCAAGTGTTTCAGTTTCGTAACTGCAGTGTAAGTGTGCCCAGGTATCAAAAAATGTACAATGATAAAGACTAAAGAATATTCAAAACCTTTTAGATTAAACATGACTGATATTTAAGTGTGGGTTACCTGTGTTTTTTTTGCACCTCCTGTTGGGTTGCCTGTGTCTGATGTTGGGCTCCCTGTGTCAGTAGTAATGGCTTCCTCGGGTCAACAGCTTCGGGCAGCTGGTTTAGTCATTTATCGTTATTTACAAACCAAAGGCTATCCAGAATACCTTATCCTGCAGACATCGTATGGTTCACATCACTGGACACCACCAAAAGGACATGTAGATCCCGGAGAGTCAGATCTTCAAACAGCACTCCGAGAAACAGAAGAAGAAGCTGGTTACAAAGAGCAAGATTTAAACTTGAGTTCCATCAAGAAAACCTTGCATTACGATGTTCGTGGAGTTCCAAAGACTGTGGTTTACTGGCTAGCAGAACTTAAGGAGTATAATAACCCAGTTCGGCTATCGCAGGAACATCAGGACTTTAAGTGGTTGGGTTTTGGAGAAGCCCGTGATTTTCTTCATAGTAACATGATAGATGTTCTGCGAGATATCGATAGAGGCTTACGTGATCATCTGAATACGAGACATAAATAGATGATTTACGATATGTATGGTAATGAATGGTTTTTGGGCTATTGAAAATAGGTACTAATGCTTAAAGAAGGCATTCTTTTTGTGTAATATATAACCATGTGTTTAATATGTGGGCCGGTATTGGATGTGTTGACAAGAACGCCAAAATATGGGACATTTTTTAATAGTCATTCCTTTTTCTTTTTCTTTTCTTCGCTCTTATTTTACGAGTGAAATGAAATACAAGCATCTATCTTAAATAAATATTAAATACTGTTCAGGCTACTGCATTGTTGTCTTCCATTTCTTCAATTTTTCTTGTAGGTTTTCAATGCAAGCTTGTTTTTGGAGTAAAATCTCTTCCAGTTGAAAAGCATATTCCTTAAAATCCTGGTAATGAAAAAGGAAAGAAAGGTTGGTTATCCTATACATCAAAAATACATGGATAATATCACTTGGTATAATCAGCTAAATCAATGTCATTACCAGCCTACAGCGAAGGGTAAACACTGTCCATCATGTATTATCAACCAAATAATATACTATTAGTTGGTATAAATAAGCTGAATGAATATTTTCTCCAGACTTCGATATGCAAACATATACGATAATGCAAACGATAATGCAAACATTGCCTGTGCAAAGACTTCACAATCATCCAAGGTACTTGACAATTAATTTTGCAGTTAGCATGTAAATGTTCCATACAGTACTGGATATTTTGAAGAAATATTGAAGCTTATCAGCAGCATACTATTCTTATGGTACCTGTTTATTATTGTCTCTCTCTTTGAGTAAAATCATTTCCTCATGACATAACCCTGTAACCATAGCAAGCTGAGTATGATGTGCAGCAACTATTTGATCCTCTGTTATGACCCTGGGACTCACAGTTTGCTGAATGGGTTGCAGTGCTCTTTTACTTCTGGGAATTAATGGTAAACATGTCAAAAACCTTCAAACCCTCAAATGTTATCAAGGCCCTGAAACAACCTCTGGGATGATCAAAGTCAGGGCACAGCTAACTCACAGATAGAACCCTGAAACAACCTCTGGGATGGTCAAAGTCACAGAGAACCTGGAGAGAAACCCTCAAACCAAGGGCTGGAGACCTAGCAAACTTTGCTCAAGTGATGCCACAACTGGGAATTGAACTGAAACCTCAGAGGTGAGATTGAGAAGAGTGCACCACTGTTGTGCCCGCCCTTGATTCCCACAACATTTTGAACATTCCTTCAAATACCTTACAGAAGATGAAGTTGAACTTAATTGTTTATGATCAGGCAATATTTCTGTACTAGATGTTGTAGGTTTGCTGTTAAATAACTGTGCCAACTTGGCTTTGATTCCTCTGCTGTAACGATTATTTGGTGTTCCATCAGTCTTATTTGGCTCTAGTGTTCCTACACTGTCCACTGGTTTTTGTTCATTATGACTAATCTTTGGTTTTGCTGATGATATACTTTGTTTCGCTCTTTCTCCATAATGTGAAGATACTGGTACTGTTAACTGTTGATTCACGCTTGTTCTCAAAACATCAAGATTCTGTGATACTAAATTATGCGTAGATATGCTAAGATTTTCAGTTGGCTTTTCCGATAAACTACTTTGAGTATTTCTATTGCTTCTTTTATCTGACAGCCTTGACTTGATTTGTCTCTTTGGTTTTTCTTCCATAATATTTGATTCAATTGTCTCCTCATATTTTTCTTCTTTTGAAGTATTTTGATATTGTTCTTTGTGAACATACTGTAGTCTTCTTGTAGGTCTTGGCTTCTGCTCACGTGGTACATTAATGACAGCTGGTGATGTGTCTGGTCGGGGTTTTTCTAGTGTATTTCTTACAAATTTCGAAGGTAATGGTTCCAGGGACTTAATCAATGTAGATTGATTCCTGGCTTTTTTATTTTTGGTGTTCAATTGTGGTGTTTTTGGTTTATTTGTCGTAAGATTTCCAACTTGTAAAATATTGACATTCAACTTGTTGTTGGGAATCAAGTTGAAATGATCAGAGGATCTAGGTTTGACAAGCGATTTCTTGGAGGTCTGCAGAAAAAAAAAGATTAATGAATGACAGCTTTACATCTACATTTTCATGGACAAGTGATTAAGGCCTTTTCCGAATTTGCTTAAGTGACCACGAAACAATGGCTCCAAATTAAGATTGGACTCGATGTGTTCATACATTACAGTATTTTATGACAAGTCCAACATTGATTCCTAATAATGTCTAATAATTTGTAGCTACAAATGTCTCTTCAATGTTACCAGTGTTACCTGTTGCTCTTTTATCTTCATTAATGAGTTCATGTTTCTGGGAGAATATTTTTGATTTTCAATCCATTTCTCACTATCATTGCCATGGACAGTAACAGGTCTGGGAGATGTGTTGATTACAGCTTCATTTTTGTTTAGTTCTTTAACTCTGATACAAAACAAAAAGTTAATTAAGAAATATGCATGTTAAGAATTTGTTCCCTCAGCAAATAGTTAATAAGCTTCATTGAAAGAAGAAAATGCAACTGCTAAGTCCGTCCATTCGTCCATCCATCCATCCATCCATCCACCCACCCACCCTTCCGTCCGTCCATCCATCCCATTTCTTAGCAATAAGAATTCCCAAAAAGGAAAGTGCTTCCCCTCCTCAATCAGCAAATGGAGTGCTGAATCACATATTCCTACCTGTCAGAGTATCTGAGAGTATTGAGTGTGTTCTCTGATGATGAAGAACATGGTGAGATGTTTGCTATCATGCAGGTCTTGGTATTTCCAACAAACGAGTCCTTCAGCACCTGTAAAAATATGTTAGTCACTCACTAAGCAACTCATTTTACCAGTAGCCGGGTGTTAGTTTATGCTACACAAGGTAAGCAGCAGGCAATAGCTGCACATAAACAGCACAAACTCGGTGCAGCAGCCCTTTACTAATGAATTAATGAGTGAGTGGATTGAAACAATATTGTCACTAATGGACAATCCTCGACAGCCTGGGTGTGTCATGCCTTATCTTATACTGAATGTGAAAACTAGGCTGATCTCTTACCTGTGTAAGCTTGCTCTGCCTGAATGGTGTATGTCTTGAGTCTTGATCAAGGGCTCTTATGCATTCTTTAAGCTGTTTAAACAATAATAAAATTTCATAACCTCAGCAACAGGAGCACTGTATACAACTGTTATGAATTACCAACCAATGCTTATCATCACCAGTGTTGCTTAGCAACCAGTGTTTAGTGTTACTTTGCACCCTAAAAAGTTATTACGTATGAGATCAATAAGCTTCATATCATCACTTGTAGTGTAATAACTTACAGCAAGAAGACTTTGGTTTATTTCAGCACCTTCCATTCTCGTTTGTTTGTCCGAATCTGTCACATCAGCAGCACGTTCACTGCCGGCGAGATCAATAAACGAAAATCTGCCCAACGTCTCTCCATATTCACTATCCTTTAAGTCTAACTGGAGTATTGCATGGGATCTGGAGGAGTCGGCATTCACACCAGTTGATCCTGTACTTCTTGAGTTTCCTCCACTTTCTATCACCTGGTAGCAAAAAGTAAAAACAATTTACTTCATTCTATGAAGACGACAAGTTTTCACACTGCTTAAAAGATGCTTATTTTGTAAAATAAAGAGTGGTGTAGTGACCCGAGTAGTGCACTTATCTATCACCTCTGGGGTCTCTCGTTCAAATCCTGGACTCGCCATCACAAAGTAAGTGGATTTCATAAGCTTTCTTTCTTGAGTTGACAGCTTTTCTCTGGATTCTCCAGTTTCCTCCCTCTACGAAACCTAATCTGCTAAATTTCGATTGGATCTTTCAGTTAGCTGTGCCCTTACTTTGATCACCCCCCCCCCCCCAGTCTGAGGTTTTTAGGGTTACACAAGTTTTTCTTTTCTAATCTTTATTGGTTCATTACCTCCATTAGCTCTTCTACATTGGTAACATGTTTTTCTGTGAGACCAACAATACAGACTTGATGTGCTGCATTCTCTCTGGCAAACAACCTTGACAGAAAAAATGTACTGTAATGTTTATCACTCAATAGTGAATCAAAATCCAGTTCTAAAAACTATTTATACCTTCTCCCCTCCTCCCCCAAGGGGAAGTGAAATTTCAAAGGGGTGAGAGGAAAGTGTTCCAATTCTTTATGATGCTATTCATTATTGGTAATTATTCAAGTTCATGTGAAAAATTGTACAAATAAATGTAGCATTAAAAAAAAGATCTTTATGATGTTAAATTAATGAGAGGTCCTTCGATTGATCCTTCTCTATGGGAAGTGAAGGATATTGACATTTTTCTTTCAAAAATGTAAAATTATGTAGAACATAAAAGCAACTTTTGCCTGCAGCTATATATTTTGAAACTATTGCAACTTATGTGATATTTATGTTGATAATAAAAGCATAAAGGCATGCTTTATCATTACAGCCTATTTTATCAACATTTAATATTTATTTATGCTATGAAAATATTTACTTTGATCTTTCGTTGAGTAAGTCAAACAGCTGTCCACAATAGATCTCATAGAAGCTCACCCAGAGTCCAAGGTCATTACCATGGTTACCAGAATATAGGATAGAGAAAATGTCGCTAGCAGCCAAAAGGTACAGCCCTGGTATGTTGTCAGTTCCTAGCATGGTGTATGTCTTACCACTACCAGTACAGCCATATGCAAAACACGTTGCTTTTATACCTCTGAGGCAAAAAGAATGAAAATTGAATAAATAGTGAATAGTTATTTGGAAACCAAAAATGAAGCTAAATAACCAAGGTTCTTTAGAATTCTTAGCTTTGTTATTGCGGATCAAAAAATGAAGTTAAATAACCAAGGTTCCCTTGTATTGTTAGCTTGGTTATTTCGGAACCAAAAATGAATGAATAATTGGATGAATGGATGGATGAAAGTAGACTATTACACTTACTTTGTGAAGATTTCATTCACAAGTGGTTTGCAGGTCTTTTCATATACTTGACGGTTTGTAGTGTTTTCATCGAAAACCTCATCAAATGCAAATGAAAACTGAAAAACCAAAAGAAGTATCAGTAACATGAACCTCTCCCCATCCCCAGAAGATATCAGGGACTGATATTTCTATTGACAGTAGGGACTGGAGGGAAAGGGCTAGGGCAAATGTTTTCTAATAATAAAGTTACTTTAAATTTTTTTTGGCAGTATAATTGTAGTGATTGTGGAAGTAGGGGTGAGGTTGGGTGAGGTTGGGGGGGGGGG